TGAAAAATGAAAAATAATAACCCGTACAGTATTTCTGTTTTCTGTGCCAGCCGTCTGTGTGGATTCGAAAAAACTGTGAAATGAAAATTTAAAATGTTCAAGCATATTTGTTAAATTGCGATATTTGTACATAACGTCTATAGAAAATGGTATAGCACGTTTCTACTCTTTACATGTATCTAAGCATTGCAGCTTAGCTGGTGGAATCACCCAACATTTCATTTGGAGTAATGCGGTGTATATATATGCCAATAACATGTAGACAGGTGATCAATTACAAACTTCAAATGAAAAAGATCCGTTTTCAGGATAGTACTACTTCGAGGATAACCAGCTGGAAGGGTGTCCCGAAAATATAAGACATTTCAATGCAACTGTGACCAAACAATTTCACTCACTCTGATGTGCCAGGTTCTTGGTCAGGGCCTCAGGGGTTAGGCCTGTAGGATCTTCTCGATCTGCTGCACAACATAAGACATTGCAGGCCTTGAGTCGACATGTTTACTGCAACAGTTTATGGCGACATGCAGAATTTGCACCATGCACTCTTTTTCACCGTCCTTCTGCTCCCGTTGTCGGAGCTCCACGTCGAACACCTCGGCCGTGCGATCCTCACGCATAGCAGAATGCACCCACCATGACAAATCTACTCCCTGTTCATCATGTATGCTATTTGCCGGGGCCTTGCGTGTGAGAAGCTCCAGCAATAGGATTCCAAAACTGTACACGTCGGCTTCCTGGGAGAACCGCTTATTGTCGGTGAGCTCAGGTGCGCAGTAGCTGGATGCATTGGGATACACGCCAAGTGTTATCAGGCCATGCTCCGACACACATGCATCGTGTGTACCGGTGAGCAGGATGTTGGAAGACTTGATGTTACCATGGCAGCTTGATGGTCCAGCTAAGTGGATAGCCTCCACACCGCGCGCAACAGCTAGTGAGATGGCTGACCGCTGCTCCCAGTCCAGCAGACCTGGGCCAGAGGCTTCGCCACCTAGATTCACGCATCATGAATTAGTGATTCATCAAAAACATTATACAGTGTCTAGGCAAGCATATGATATGATTGTACAGTATATATATTACCGTGCAGTACTTTTGCTAGGCTACCCATGCGGATGCTGTTGTACACTAACACCTTCTGATCCTCGCTGTAGTAATACCACCGCAGTGGCGCAATGTGTTTGTTCTGGATGGCGCCAATCAGCCTGACTTGCTGCTCAAAGTCCGCCTTCGGCATATCCACATCCTTCAGCATCTTGATCACCAGCACACACCCACTATCAAGCGTCGCTTTGATTGTTTTCCCGACTGTACCCTTGCCCAGAATTTCAGCCGATGACCGAAGGAGGTCTTCCAGGTCGAAATATTGGTCAGTCTCTGTGGACCTACCGATAAAAGTTCCCACATATCGGGTACTGCTACTGCTTTCCTGTGATAGTCCCGTTTTGACTGGAGCCACAATTCCCGTTTTGGGGGTTCTGCCACTGCTTTCTTGTGATGGCGTTTTTTCAGCTGGAGCTACAGTTCTCACGTTTTGGCTACTGCTTCTGCTTTCCAGAGATGGTGTTTTGGCTGGAGCAATTTTTCTTTCTCTTCCGATCTCTTCGATCTGCTGCACGACTTCAGACATTGTAGGCCTCTTGTTGGGATATTGACTGCAGCAGTTTAAGGCAAGCCATAGAAGTCGCACCATGAACTCTTCTTCCCTGTCCTTCTGCTCCCATCTTCGGAGTTCCACGTCGAACACCTCCTCCGTCCACCCCACGCAAACAACAGAACGCACCCACCATGGCAAATGGACTCCCTCCATACCCCTTATGCTATTTGCCGGAGCCTTGCGAGTGAGAAGCTCCAGCAGTACGATGCCAAAGCTGTATACGTCAGCTTTCTGAGAAACCCGCCTATCGCCTGTGAGCTCAGGCGCGCAGTAGCCGGAGCCATTTGAATATATGCCAAGTAGTGTTATCAGACCATGCTCGGACACAAGTGCATCGTGGGTGCCAGTCAGCAGAATGTTTGAAGACGTGATGTTGCCATGACAGCTCAATGGTCCGGCAAAATGAATAGCTGCCATACCGCGCGCAACAGCAAGTGAGATGGCTGACCGCTGCTCCCAGTCCAGCGGAGCTGGGTCAGAGACTCCGTCACCTAGATTCACAAATCATGAATTAGTGATGCATCAAAAACATTATAAATTGTTAAGGCAGGCATATGATAACATTGTGCAGTATATAGATTACCGTGGAGCACTTTTGCTAAGCTACCCATGGGGATGAAACTGTACGCTAGGATCTTATCGGGCTCGCTATGGTAATGCCATAGCAGTGGCACAATGTGTTTGTTTTGGATGGTGCCAATACTTGTGGCATGCAGCTCAAACTCCACCTTCGGCATGTGCACATACTTCAGCCACTTGACCACCAGCTCATATCCGCTGTCAAGCGTTACTTTGTATGTTGTCCCGACTGTACCCTGGCCCAGAACTTCAGTCGATGCCCCAAGCAGGTCTTTCAGGTCGAACAATTGGCCTGTCACTGTCGGTCCAATGATAGAAGTTCCCACATTTCGTATACTATCACAGCATATCTGTGATAGTGCCGCTTTGACTGGAGCCACAATTTCTGTTTGGGGGATACTGCCACTGCTTTCTTGCGATGGCGTTTTTTCAGCTGGAGCTACATCTCCCGCTTTTTGGCTACTGCCGCTGCTTTCCAGAGATGGTGTTTTTGCTCGAGCTAATTTATTTTTTCTTCTCCAAGGAAACAGAGCTAGTCTTTCTTGTACCTGATGTGGTGCTTTTCTAAGTTTGCGAAGACGTTCGGCAACTTCAAACATCTCTGGACGTTTGTTGAGTTCCATCCTCAAGCATTTACCTATCAACTTAGCAATCTCGTCGATAGTCTTCATGTCGCTCGACGTTGTGATTTCAGGATCAAACATCTCCCTTACCCTCTTAACCCCTTTTGAAAGAGATTGATTAAAACTGCCAACCAAGCCAATCTCCCCATCCTCTGTTCTTGCTTTCTTTCTAGTGATCAGTTCCAGGAGTACAATTCCAAAACTATAAACATCACTCTTTGCGGTGAGGCGACCATTCTGAACAAACATAGGATCCATGTAGCCTATACTTCCGATCACATTTAGAGTACATAGAGTATTTTCAGTGTTGACTAGTCTTGATATTCCAAAGTCTGATACTTTTGCTCTGAGTTCATCATCTAGAAGTATATTATCAGGCTTGATATCGCCATGAATGACCTGAGTATACATTTGTGAATGCATATAGGCCAATGCTTCTGCACATTCAATGGCAATTCTTAGCCGTGTACCCAAAGTGATGGGAATGCTATCCTTGTGAAGGATGGTACTTAGATCTCCTTTGGAAATATACTCCGTGACCACCATAAAGGCATTTTCATCTACACAGTAGCCGACTAATCTGACTACATTCTTGTGATTGATCTCACGGTGGACGGTCAACTCTTTGGCAAAATTTACTTTTGCATTGTAGATAAACTTCTTGACTGCAACCATACTTTTGTCCTCAAGGACTCCTTCATAAACTTCTCCAAAGGCACCTCTACCAAGTATAGTTTTATAGTTGTTGGTAAATCTTCTTATCTCATCTTCTGTAAAACATTTCACATCATGATTGCTATGTGCAATCCATTTCGATTTATGCTCTTCTCGGATAAGTTGTGTTACTGTATTTTCTGGATGATCCATCTTTGGAAGTAGCAGGGAACTTATTCAATCTAGGAAGACCTTTTGACCTAAAGAACAGTTTTGGTAGAGGTAAAAGTCAAATTTAATCCAACATATAAATTAGAAAACAAGTATTCCTTTGATTAATCATCAATGAATTGAGTAGGGAACTAGGGATTGCAGATGCCCATTGGGCAATGGGCAATGTATATAGATGGTGTTGTACCCCATTAGAGTTCCTTAGGAACAAAATGCCTCCTATATCTGCCAAAGTATAACCAATCTAGGTTGCTATTTTTTCTGCTTTAGTTACTCACACAACAATTGAAATATCAGTTGCGTTTTCAGTTAATGGTCTAGGACTACATCCCTAGAGGAAGTATGATGTACTAGGGAGTAATTAATATATATTGTTCAGTTCTGCTCTGGCTTTTGAATAGCAGCTTCATGGTAGGGTCTGGGTAATTGTACATGTTTGCTTGGCAGGAAACTGAAACAATTTTCGAACATGAAGAGAATAGGTAGGAATGGACTACACAAATATGTGAATAAATTGAAATCTGAAGTGCTAATCTCCCCGGAAGAAAAACAGAGAGAGCTCTAACAAATGTGGTAAGACATGGAGACGGCCATGGTTGAACCAAACATACCTCTTAAGAATGGATGCCGTAACATAACACAATCAATGGAGCCTTCTTTTGTTCGTAGCCACAGATCGCCATGGAATGGGTCTAGAAGAAAGAACGGATGGCATATGCCCTTCTGTCATGAATTGCCATCATCGATGGTCAACGCCCAGAATATGAATGGGGGTTGGGATTGTTTCATGGCAACTGCTAAAAGATTAAATAGACATGGTGATGCCCAAACACGTTACGCAAGAGCGTCCCAATCCAATGATTGCACTAGAAAAACAAGAATTCAACACGTGGTTTGGCTTTTGTTTGACTCTACTCAAGAAATTATAATAGCATGGAACAATAAAAAATTATAGATACGTTGGAGACGTATCAAGTACATGTTCCTGTCTCCTTCGCGTCTCCGCCCGCCTCTGCGCAGTACTCATCCATCGCCTGCTCAAGCCAATGTTGACCTTGGTACCCGATAAGGACAGCTGCCAAAGTCGTTCCAGCCGGCACATGCGCAGGCGCGATTTCCACATTATTATCCCGCTTCCGCTCTAGCAAAAAGCAAGTTGTATAAAACTATACTTGGGCATCTATAACCGCGGTCATCTAATTTGAGCCACTATGCGTCCGACCTGTCCGGGCACGCCGGCTGGGGTGACCCGGCAGACCATATTTCTCGCATTTCACAGACACATACTCATATGCCTTAGTTAAATCCATACAAGACCATGCAGGCGACGTTTCTACGTAGATCAACACGCGAACATAGCAATCTGGCAAAGATGCATCACGAGACGCAGCTACCTAGTACCATGGCCTTGTACAGTTTGGTCGTTCCTCCATGACCGCGTGCTCGATCGATCGAGATGTAGCGGCGCTCGGCAAGATGTTGACACCCCCTTTTATCGCTGAGAAGTACGTAGGTCTTGATAGCTCATGGCTGGTATTGCAGAAAAATCAGTGTGCCTTCCCTGTTTTGTTTCTTCAGTTCAATATGCACTTGTGCCTTTTCAGCTCAATGTCTGGACCAGCAACATAGGCGCGCGATGCCTGTTCTGCTTGTTGAGCATGCACTTTCGTCTTTTCAGTTAAGAAAGTCTGAACCGCTGAATGCCTAAATCCCAATCCCTAATTCCTTCCGAGCTCCGACTGCTCCCAGCTCCGCTCCGAAGCTGCCGCGTGCACCTTGCCGGCAAGCTCCCCTACTTCCAGCGGCTGGCGCCCGATGCGGCATCTCCCTGACTCCCTCCTCGCACCCCCTGCACCTTTTGCTCCGCGTGACAGCGTCTGGCAACCTCTTACACACGCGGCATCGCTGGAGCTGCTACGCGAGGCACAGAGGCACAAGAGAGAGGACCGGGAGAGCGTGCGTGGACTTCGTTCGGAGAGGTGGTCGCTTGGCGCTGCTCCTGCTCCACAGCTCAAGCAAGGTACTGAACATTCTAATTCTTGGCTTGATGAGCTCTATTCTATTCATCTGTAATCTGTAGAATTGATGCTTATTTCTGTTGAATGAAACAAATCGATGCGTATTTCTGTCGTAATTGCAGAATTGAACATGAAGAGGAACGGGACAGTCCCTTCTCCTGAAACATATTACATGAGCCACATGGCACTTGCGACACTCCCTCAAAGATTGGTGGATTGGTATGTCCGAAGCTCCGCTTCCTAATAGGAAGCCCATGACATCTTTAATCATGCTCATCTCATGGTCGATTTGGAACGAGAGAAATGCACGTGTTTTCAATGACAAAGGGACACCGCCCACGATCTTGTTAGACAACATCAAGAAAGAGACATCACTTTGGGTGGCCCGCGGGAGCTAAGAAGCCAGGGGTTTGCTCATGTCGGGAGAGTAATCCCTTTCTTGTAATAAGGGGTGTATATGTAAGACAGCTAAAACTTTCCTTCTCTCTTAATTAATATACGAGGCAATTCTTTTGCCTCCATTTCAAAAATAAATAAATTACATGAGTCTAAACACTAAAGCAAACATAATTGCATCTTCTTCATTAGTGTTTCTTCCCCGCCGATAACATAGAAGGAGGGGGGGGGGGGTGTGTGTGTGGAAATCGTATATCTAAATGTTGCAGCTTAGCTGGTAGAATCATGAACCCAACGTCTCATTTTGGAATATTGCAGAGTTTATATTCCAATAACATGTAGGGCAGGTGATCCGTTACAAAATTGCAATGAAAACATTCTTTTTCAGGATAGCAGCTCTCCAGGATAACCAGCTGAAATGGGTCCTGAAAATATATGACATTTGAATACAACTGTGACCAAGCAAATTTCACTCACTATGATGTGCAAGTTTATTGGTCAGGAGTTAGGACTTTGTGGATTGCCTCGATCAGCTGCACGACATCGGACATTGCAGGCCTCGAGTCGGCATCTTGACCGCAACGGTCTAGGGCGAGCTGCAGAAGCCATGCCATGCTCTCCTCTTTCCCGTCCTGCTCGTGTTCTAGGAGCTCCATGTCGAAGACCTCCACCGTCCTCTTCTCATGTATAACAGAACATACCCATACTAGCAAATTAATTCGCTCCACCATTCTGATAATTGTCGGAGGCTTGCGAGTGAGAAGCTCCAGTAGTAGGACACCGAAGCTGTACACATCGGCTTTCTGAGAGGCCCACTTATTGTCGGTGAGCTCAGGCGCGCGGTAGCAAGAGATCCTGGGAAATCTGAAATACATGTCCATTTGAGGTATCAGGCCGTGCTCCGAGACACATGTACCATGGGTACCGGTGAGCAGGATGTTGGACGATTTGATGTTGCCGTGGCAGCTTGATACGTCTCCAACGTATCTATAATTTTTTATTGTTCCATGCTATTATATTATCTGTTTTGGATGTTTTATATGCATTTATATGCTATTTTACATTATTTTGGGACTAACCTATTAACCTAGAGTCCAGTCCAGTTTATGTGTTTTGCCTGTTTTAGAGTTTCGCAGAAAAGGAATACCAAACGAAGTCCAAACGAATAAAACTTTCGTGGTGATCTTTCTTGGACCAGAAGCAAACCAGGAGATTTGGAGATGAAGTCGGAGAAGCAACGAGGCGGCCATGATGTCTACTATACAACCTTCTTCTTGTAGACGTTGTTCGGCCTCCAAGTGCAGAGATTTGTAGGACAGTAGCAAATTTCCCTCAAGTGGATGACCTAAGATTTATCAATCTGTGGGAGGCGTAGGATGAAGATGATCTCTATCAAACAACTCTGCAACCAAATAACAAAGAGTCTCTTGTGTCCCCAACACACTCAATACAAGGGTAAATTGTATAGGTGCACTAGTTCGGCGAAGAGATGGTGATACAAGTGCAATATGGATGGTAGATATAGGTTTTTGTAATCTGAAAATATAAAAATAGCAAGGTAACTAATGATAAAAGTGAGTGTAAACGATATTGCAATGCTAGGAAACAAGGCATAGGGTTCATACTTTCACTAGTGCAAGTTCTCTCAACAATAATAACATAATTAGATCATATAACTAGCCCTCAACATGCAACAAAGAGTCACTCCAAAGCCACTAATAGCGGAGAACAAACAAAGAGATTATGGTAGGGTACGAGACCACCTCAAAATTATCCTTTCTGCTCGATCTATTCAAGAGTCCGTAGTAAAATAACACAAAGCTATTCTTTCCGTTCAATCTATCATAGAGTTCATACTAGAATAACACCTTAAGACACAAATCAACCAAAATCCTAATGTCACCTAGATACTCCATTGTCACCTCAAGTATTTGTGGGCATGATTATACAATATGCATCACACAATCTCAGATTCGTCTATTCAACCAACACAAAGTACTTCAAAGAGTGCCCCAAAGTTTCTACCAGAGAGTTAAGACGAAAACGTGTGCCAACCCCTATGCATAGGTTCATGGGCGGAACCCGCAAGTTGATCACCAAAACATACATCAAGTGGATCACGTGATATCCCATTGTCACCACAGATAAGCACGGCAAGACATACATCAAGTGTTCTCAAATCCTTAAAGACTCAATTCGATAAGATGGCTTCAAAGGGAAAACTCAATCCATTACAAGAGAGTAGAGGGGGAGAAACATCATAAGATCCAACTATAATAGCAAAGCTCACGATACATCAGGATCGTGTGAAGTCAAGAACACGAGAGAGAGAGAGATCAAACACATAGCTACCGGTACATACCCTCAGCCCCGAGGGTGAACTACTCCCTCCTCGTCATGGAGAGCGCCGGGATGATGAAGATGGCCACCGATGAGGGATCCCCCCTCCGGCAGGGTGCCGGAACGGTCTCCCGAGAGGTATTTGGTGGCTACAGAGGCTTGCGGCGGTGGAACTCCCGATCTATTGTTCGCTTCGATGTTTTCAGGGTATATGGGAATATATAGGCA